GGGGGGGGGGGGGGTCCCCCCGCTGTGTGTGTGCCCAGGGCAGGCATGGCGGGCATGTGCCTCCCAGATCTGTGTGCAGGGGAAGATGAGCTCCCTGCTGGCTCTGCACCACATGGCACTGCCCCCAGGCCTGGGCAGAATGCCATCTGCCTGCTGCCACCGAGTGGGCAGAGGCACTTGGCCAACGCACAGCAGGCAGTTGTTGTGCCGTGCATGTCCGGACGCAGTGGCAGCAGCAGCACAGTGCAGAGCCCAGCATGCAGCACGCATCCCACCTCCATCTGGATCCGGGGGACACATTCTCCGCATGCCTGCCCTAGAGTGTGCACAGCCTCTTTGCCCCCCCTCTGCTGCTGATGCCTCTGGACCTGTGGAGGATGCCATCTGCCTGCTGCGCGCTGGCCAAGTGCCCCTGCCTACCTGGTGGCAGCAGGCAGATGGTGTTCTGTGCAGGTCCAGAAGCAGTGCCATGTGGTGCGGACCCAGTGCGCAGCCCAACCCCACCCTCCATGCACTGATCCAGGAGGCATGTGCCCCCCATGCCTGCCCTGGGGTGCACCCAGCAGGGGGAGCCCCCCACGTCCCTGGAAAAGTCCAGCCCACCTTTGTGCTAGCTCTGCCATGAGGACAAGGCCAGCCAGACCGTGGGAGAAAACCTTTGGGGAGCAGTGGGCTGCCGCTGCGCTCTGCATTGTTACCACACCCTCTGAAGCTGCATGGGACACCATATGCCTGCCACCCTGGGTGGCCTGGGGATACAGTGCAGCCAGTGCACAGAAAGCACATGGCATCATGCGAGGCTCCCGAGGCAACGGCAGCATGGTGCAGAGCCCAGTGCACAGTGATAGCCCACCTCTGCCCCACGCACATATCTGGGGGACATGTGCCGCCGATGCCTGCCTTTGGGTTTGTGCAATGATGGGAAACCCCCCCTCCCCCCATACCCCTGGATGAGCCACTCCGGCTCCTACCGTCACACCCACCCCAGCTGCCCAATCACCCCAGCCCCTGCCCCTCTTCCTCCCTCACTGTGGGGGTCTTGATCTGTCCCCCCAATCTCCCAACACGTTTACCTCCTGGATGCTGCTCGACACACAGTGCTGTGTTCCTGGCCATGTGCAGCAAGCTGTGTGCAGCAGGCTGCTGCTGGGCTCTGGATGTGTGCAGCCCCTGTCCCTGGCCTTCCGTGTACCACAGTTTGGGAACCGCTGTATTACTGCAATACTAATGATAATTATTGCCAATAATAATATATCTTAGAACTAGAGGGAGAATGTTTTTTGTGAGAACGTTCTCAAGTACGTAAAAGAATCTGCTTTGGGTCTTCATTTACTGCATTTTTACTTTAAAACTTGGTTTGTGAAAGACAAAGATGCGCTATAGTAGTGCAGCATTTTAAAACTAGAATTATTCATTTATAATAGTAGTACTGTTTAACTTTCCCATTTACATTAGTTATAGCTTTTGTTTTATTTACTTTTTGCTTCTCATTTCTCACTTGTGTTTCTTTTTATTCTCTAGAGACAATCAGACAAGACAAATACGAGATGCTGTTTCAAATGTGGAAAAACATTTTGGTGAATTGTGCCAAATATTTGCTGCATATGTACGTAAAACTGCCAGACTACGAGACAAAGCAGACCTGCTAGTGAACGAAATATATGCATATGCAGCTACAGAGACACCAAATTTAAGAGTTGGGCTGAAAAATTTTGCAGATGAATTTGCCAAACTTCAAGATTATCGACAGGCAGAGGTATAAAATTTAAGTTCTATATTGTGCTTGCAAATTTTTTGTTGCTTTTGTTATGGTTGGGGGTGTACTCAATTCAAGATAGTTTCATGGTTGATGACAGCCAGCTGATTTTTTGTGGGCAAATCTTGAGGCTGGCTCCCATTTTCAAGGGCTTGTCATGGCAGGGCCTCTACCTCCCTGCTCCCACACCTCTGACCAGGGGAACCCACCCCCTGCTGCTAATTGGTTCAGAGGGCTGCCCATCATGAGGCCCCACCCCTTACCACTGATTGGTGGAAAAGGGTGCCGCTGCATAATAGGTAGCCCTCAGCTAATTTGTGGTGAGGGGCAGGGGTAACAGCCATTTTGTCTGTGCTGGCAGCCCCTTTTGTGCCAAGCTGTATGGTCAGGAGGACTACTGGTTCATACTGGAGAGTCAGCTGCTTATTTTTAGTAAGTTTTTATTTTCCCTCAGTGGATTTCTCAGAGATCACCTGATTTTGCAATTTCTATGAAATCTGCACAATCATGATTTGAGTAGGTCCCTAGTTATGGCATGTATCTTTTTTTTTGTCAAGTCCAAGCTAAAACATTAAACATATTAATAATATAGCCAAATAAGCCCCAAACTTTTCAGTTTGTCCTGCAAATGACCTCACTAAAGGCTTAAGCCCTAGTAGCATGTGTTATAAATAGTCTCACTGAAATCAGTGAAACTACTCACATGTTTGTTTCCAGTATGAGAGTTGCATCTTCAGTGGAGGGGAGAGATGAAGTCACTGGATATTATTAGGCCATAGGTTACATTTACTAAAATATGCATTTTGGTTTTGTGACTTGAGCCAACTATCAGTATCTAAGATGACAATTAGTCACCCTTTTAAGAGAATCTGTTGATCAGGACATTTGTATTAGAAGTGCACCAATACATTGGTCCATATCATATCAGCACCAATAAAAGGAAAATTGCCATTATTGGCAATTGGCTTTTTTTGGCTGATGTGGCCAATAATGTTCCCAATAAATGCCATGTGCATGTGCACAATCACAGCATGAATGTAGCCACCCAGCAGCTTGCAGAGCAGAGTTCTGCTGGTAAGTCTGTTGAGGGGGAAGGGGAAGGTGTGTGGAGGAAGCAGAGCGAGGCCCCCATGGTAAGGGAGGGAGTGGGGCTGGGGCAGGGGCAGGCACTGCACAGTTGGGGCACAGGACAGAGTTGCGAGTGGCTCATCCGGGGGGTGCGGAGAGGGGGGTGGCTCCCACCGCTGTACACCCCCCTGGGGGAGCCACTTGGAGTGTGTGGCCCCTGGATCTGTGTGTGCGGTGAGGTTGGGCTGCCGCTGCGGGCTGGGGCCGGGGGTAGCACTGGGCTCTTCCTGGCAGGAATGCTGGGCTGGGGCTTTGTTCAGGGTGGGCACCAGCAGCACTAGGAGGAGGGCTATGGCAAATTTTGGGGTGACTGCAGCCTTTCCCCCTGCCCCCCCAGCAACACTGCCATACGCCCCCAGCGCAGCCCCGGCCCAACTCCCCCTCTGGGAAGAGCCCAGCACTGCCCCCAGCCCCAGCTTGCAGTGGGCAGCCTGCCCTCACCCCATGCACAGATCTGGTGGGCACATGCCCCTCCCCCACACCCATGGCTCCCATGGGTGTGTATTAGTGGTGGGAGCCACCCCCTGCACCATCTGGACATGGTGCTTGTGACTCCATTCTGCCCTGCCCAGCCCCACCCCGCCCTGGCTGAATAGCACCTACACCAGCCCCACTCCCTTCCTCACCGCAGGGGCCTCAATCTGTCCCCCTCAATCTTTCCCGTCCCCCCCACCCCTTCCCCCCCAACAGATTTACCAACCAGCGCTGCTTTCCAAGCTGCTGGGCTGCATGTCGGCAGTGGGATCAGTATCGGCCGATATAGCTTGTTAATAATCAGCAGGGATCCTGGTTTTCTCTGCTGAAACAATATCCCTAATTTTCAAATTTAAAAAAGTAACCAGCAGTCCACATTTCTGCATGATTAAAATGAAACGCCACTAATAGATAGATAGATATATGGTGCTGTTTCATCTTAATCACAGAAAAATATGGATTTGGGGTTACTTTTTTAATCTGAAAGTTAGGGATTTTTTTTTTTAAATCCGAGGAAACTAGGATCCCTGATAATCAGCCATCAGTATTGGCCCAAAAAATCTTTATCAGTGCACCCCTAATTTGTATTCATTAGGTTTTAAAATGCTAAATTGCTTTGTTGTTTGAAAGCAACAAAATTCCAGTGATTTGGGGCAAAGAATTAAGCAGGTTAATTGAGCACATGTGAATGATCAAATTGGTGTCAGTGGGATAACATGCATGTATAAAGTTTAAACATATTTATTTTTCAGGATCCAGGTCGTAGTTCAAAACTGTGGTAATCAGACTATATTTCACTAGATCATATTGTTTCATTCACATAAATTCACCCTAAACAAAACTACTGTTGTGTTAAAGGTGAACTGCAACATAAGAGTTGCTTTCTTGTGGACATACCCCTGTTACTTCTAGCATGGAGAAGGTCTAGATATGCTTTTTAAGTAATTTTTCTTTTGCTATTTTTTTAATGTATAGAAACCTGGAGAAGAAGTAGGTTTATAATGCCAAAGATGTCAAGAATAAGAAACATAACTACGGGCTTCAGTTGTGCGTTAGCGTAGGGCTTCACTGACATCAGTGAGACTGTTGAAAAGTCCACTTTTGCAGCTCCGGCTGACGAATTGAGGCCTAATTGAATGTGGAAATAATTTTATTCAGATAGTCTTGCAAGTACTGTTTTGTGTTAATGCCTATTTAACGAAAACACTTTTTTTAAGGGTATCCTTGTCCCTTCACTAGAAGGGTCAGAAACCATTCACTTCACTTACTTAAACCACCAAGAAGCACTTTAGTTAGAGGAATCTGTTAGTTGATATCCTTGATGTTTATAAAAATATGTCATTTCATTTAGTAAGGAAGAACTTAAACCATTATGGATAGGACAGAAATGTTACAATATTCAGATGGAAAC